TGGCTAATCGTGACAGCCAATTGCGCACAGCGACATCCCACAAATAGTCTTGGATTGACTGACCAATTTTTTTCAGGGATTATCACCACTGGAAAAGCGATCCGCCAATCGACTAACAACTGGGTTCCTACTTGCTGCGAGGTAAACAGAGGTGCATGGAGTAAAGAACTTGCCCAACGTTTCGCCCCCCCTGTAATACAATTGTTATTTATTTTTATTTAACGTGGTTTCAGCAGGGAAGCGAGTGACTGAACGCCAGACGTCCGTACCTGAGTGCCGATGCTCCAGTAAAACCAGCCCACGTAGGAGGGGTGCCGGAACCAGGCATAGACCCCGGAGGTGACGAGCTGGTGGCTTTCTGACTTCTCGTTCTGCACAATGTGGTTGAAGTTGGAGCCGGCAGTCAGCATGGCCACTTTCCTCAGCGTCTCTCCCACCAGCACCATCGCCAGGCCCAGGCAGCTCAACCACCTCAGCTGCTTCAGCTCTGCAAAGACGCACATAAACCCACACATATAAACACACACACCCACACACATAAACACACACACGGTCAGCTTTGGTAGATTTCATAATCCAGCTCGACTCTTCACACGTCACACCGCTCTCCTCTGGCGGAGCTCTGGCCTGCTCCATGTCCCCCGCCCTGCCCGCCCGACCATCAGCGTTCGGGCCTTCAGCCTCTCCGTCCCCACCTTTTGGAACTCCATCCCAGAGTCCCTTCGCCTCATTCGAGGCCCGTCTCAAGACCTACCTCTTCAACCGTGCTGTCTGTCACCCTCCTGCCCCCACCCTCCCCTGCCCTCCACCTCTCCTGATCCCAAGCCCCAGCTCTGGTGCAAATCTTTGACTGTCCAGGGCCTTGGGACGTCCTCCCTACGTGAAAGACGCCGTGTAAATGTAATTTGCGGTTGTTGTTGTTGTTGTTGTTGACAGACTAACCTGGGAAGAAGAGCTTTTCGATCGTGAACTCCACCCAGGAAGACATGGCCGCCAGTTTGTACTCCAGGCTGTGGTTCAGCAGAAACGAGTCGAGGGAGAGGGACTGGGGGTTAATGATGGCCGTCACCAGGTACTCCGAGTAGTGGAAAAAACTCAACGAGCACAGATACCTGCCAAGCAGCAGAGAGCAAGAACATGCATTTTTAGCGTTAGTTCACGACTGTCTGTGGGACGCTGCTGTGCGAGATTGACTGCTGCGTTTCGCCCACGAAACATACAGTCGACTCCCTTCGCAGTATATTCTGTGAAGCGCTTTGAGACGTCTCGGAGACGCGATAAGGCGCAATATCAAATGCGAGGATTATTATCATCATCAGCACCACGACTGTCAGGTTTGCGTTAACAGCCAAACAAGGTCCCACACGCCACCGGGGGAATAACTAATTAATTTGGAAGATCGCTGGCCAGGAACCCGGGGAGGAACTAACTCTCTTCTCTTTTCAAACGTCCTCCTCGAACAGTCTCCCGACGGCACCGCTGACCGTCGCACAGCGAGGGGAGAAGCGCCGGGAGCGTTCGGAAGCTCATTAAGAGAGCCGGCCGCAGCTAAGGAGCGCGATCCCTGACACGGCGGCGCACGGCGCCCTCGCCGGAGGCCGATTACCAGCCAAAGTGTTGCCACGAAGCCCCTCCGAAGCTCAGCAGTAAACCGCAGCCAAAGGCGAACCCGAGGAAACAGGCCCGGACCGCGACCTGCGGAGAGAGGCGGCGATTACGAGGCGGCCGAGGTGTACACGGACCCCAGCAGAGCCCCCGGCAAATGAGGCAGACCCCCCCAACTCCCCTCCCCAGACCCCCCAACCCCCCCCCCCCCTCCCATCCTGCCCGCACGGCAACCCCCTTCCCAACCCCCCAACCCTTCTAAAAACACAGTCACTACCCTTTACAGTGTATTTTGCGAAGGGCTTTGAGACGTCTCAACGACAAGACGCGAAGCAAATATAAGGATTATTATTATCCCCCACTCCCCCCCCCACTGCTCCCCATACCCCCCACTGCTCCCCATACCCCCCACTGCTCCCCAACCCCACTGCTCCCCCCACCACTGCTCCCCCCCACTGCTCCCACCCCACTGCTCCCCACCCCCACTGCTCCCCCCCCCACTGCTCCCCCCACTGCTCCCCATACCCACACTGCTCCCCCCCCACTGCTCCCACTGCTCCCCACCCCCACTGCTCCCCCCCACTGCTCCCATACCCCACACTGCTCCCCCCCACTGCTCCCCATACCCCACTCTCCCCCCACTGCTCCCCACTGCTCCCCCCCCACTACTCCCCCCACTGCTCCCCACTGCTCCCCCCACTCACTGCTCCCCCCACTCCTCCCCCCCACTCCCCCCCACTGCTCCCCCCCCCCCCCCCGGCACTGGGGCCCGCGGGCCGAGGCCCAGGCCCCGGGCTGACCTGACCTGACCTGACCTGACCTGGTAGGCCGGGCCGCGGTACAGCAGCAGCAGGAGGCCGTTGAGCGCCGCCAGGTACCCGGCGACGAGGGCGCGGCCCAGCGGCCCGGCCGGGGCCCCGGTCACCGCGGGCAGCAGCGTGACCGACAGGCCGAGGGCGAAGGTGCCGGGAGCCGGGCCCGCCATCAGCCAGAGCCGCGGCCCCGAGCCTGAGCCCCGGGGGGCGGGGAGAGAGGGGGGAGAGGGGGGGGACAGGACCCGGGGACCCGGGGCAGCAGCAGCGGGAGAGCCGGAGCCGGAGCCGGAGCCGGGCCCGAGGAGGAGCCGCTGCAGGACCACAGCACACCAGACCAGACCCGCCCCGCCCGGCACCAGCACTGAGCCTCACACCGGGAACTGGCATCGGGGCTGGCACCAGGGCTGGCACCTACCTGAGCCTGGCATCGGGGGTGGCACCAGGGCTGGCACCTACCTGAGCCTGGCACCAGGGCTGCCACCTGAGCCTGGCACCAGGGCTGGCACCTACCTGAGCCTGGCATCGGGGCTGGCACCAGGGCTGGCACCTACCTGAGCCTGGCACCAGGGGTGGCATCGGGGCTGGCACCAGGGCTGGCACCTGAGCCTGGCACCAGGGCTGGCACCTGAGCTTGGCACCAGGGCTGGCACCTGAGCCTGGCACCAGGGCTGGCACCTACCTGAGCCTGGCATCGGGGGTGGCACCTACTCGAGCCTGGCATCGGGACTGGAACCGGAGCCTGGCATCAGGGGTGGCACCTGAGCCTGGCACCAGGGCTGGCACCTGAGCCTGGCACCAGGGCTGGCACCTGAGCTTGGCACCAGGGCTGGCACCTGAGCCTGGCACCAGGGCTGGCACCTACCTGAGCCTGGCATCGGGGGTGGCACCTACTCGAGCCTGGCATCGGGACTGGAACCGGAGCCTGGCATCAGGGGTGGCACCTGAGCCTGGCACCAGGGCTGGCACCTGAGCCTGGCATCGGGACTGGCACCTGAGCCTGGCATCGGGACTGGCACCTGAGCCTGGCATCGGGACTGGCACCTGAGCCTGGCATCATGGCTGGCACCTATCTGAGCCTGACATTGAGACTGGCACCTGAGCCTGGCACCAGGGCTGGTAACCGATCTGAGCTTGGCATTGAGACTGGGACTGACATCTGAGCCTGGCATCATGGCTGGCACCTACCCAAGCCTGGCGTAAAGACTGGCACCTGAGCCTGACATCAGGGACTGGCACCTGAGCCTGGCATTAGGAACTTGCAGCTGAGCCTGGCATTAAGACTGGCACCGGGGGAGAATTTTTGAGTCCATTTACTTTTATGTCTCCTATTGGTAATAAAGCAATAATAGTTTGCAAATATTTTTAAGAGCCTTTTTCTCTTGCGCTTTTCTCTCCCCCCCCATCCCTCCCTCCGTCCCGTCCCTCTCCCCGTCCCTCTCCCCATCCCTCCCCGTCCCTCTCCCCATCCCCCCCCCCCCCCCACCGAAAAGTGTTCCCTCCTCCCAGTGTGGCCTCCCAGGACCTCACCCAAGTGGCCCAGATCCTCGTTTGAGCTTTAACAGTGAGCGTCACCGGTACGTTTGACCCTGGTATCACAGCCCCAACGGATCGTCCAGCGGGAGCTCGCTCTCCGGATCGGGGGCACCAAATCCCGGCCGACTTTTCTCCTCCGACCCCGGGGTCAGGGCCCCCAACTGCACTGTTTTTTTTTTGGTGTCAGCCAAGGTGACGCCCATCACCGAGTGGAAACCCATCACCAAGTGGGAGGAAAAATTGTGCCACCATTTCCGCGCAAACTTAAGGAGCTTGCTTAATAAGGAAGCTGGGTAACACAAATGGGAGACGCCTTATCGTGTGGAGTGGTACAGTTAAATTAAAAAATAATCATTAATAATAATAATAATTTGGTCGCTCACTCCCGTGACCTTGTGGGACGCTGCTGTGCGCGATCGACTGCCGGGTTTCGCCCACAGAATGCACAAGTCAATTCACTTTACGGTATGTTCTGCGAAGCACTTTAAGACGTCTTGAAGGTGTGTCAAATGCAAGGATTATTATGTGAGGAATTAACTTAAAATCTCGAAAGTCTCTCGTGGCTTTTTTTTGGCATTGGCTGTTAGTTATCTTCTGGCGCCTTCTGCTGGTTTCGGGCGGGAAATAACATGTCGGATGCGAATGATACATCTATTACATCAATGGTCTGAAGCCATTGATTCCCTCAGGACGGTAATTACTGAAGAAATGGGACTTTGTTTCACAGCTTTTACATCCTATATTCTCAACCAGCATCTCCCAATTCAACCACTGTATAACGTGCGTTACATACAGAAAACCTCCCCACTGTCTTACACAGCACTCCCAGGACAGCTATAGCACGGGTTACATGCAGCAAAGGGTACATCTGACTCAACAGTAACCCATTCGTAGGGACGGTTGTTGGACTTTAAGGTACTCAGTAATGCACTATATTTGGAACAGCCTTCACAGCAAGCAGAGCAATTGAACCATAAAGAAGAGAGATTTGGTATACGTTTTATTATGACAAACGTGCAAACACAGTACAGAATAAATTGTAGACTGTGGAACTCCACAATGGTGGATTGATGTGAGCCCCTCATCACTGCTCTCCAGTGACAATCTCTCACAGCAGAGAGCAACCCGCACCTTCCCCGTTGCAAGATTGGGACAGACACATCTGCCAGAACAATGCTCAGCGCAGAGCTAACATCAAAATATAAGATTACAACGTCTTTTCACAATAAAAGATTCTAAATCCCCTTCACTATGAAGGAATACAATGTCTCACATTTTAAACATGATTCTTCATTTGATTACACCAGGATCAAAAATGTCTAATGAGATGCCTGAATGAGGATCCCAGAGTATGCGTTAGGGAACTGCTGGAGTTTAACCAGCTATGAAAGCAAAGAATGCCTTCGAGAGCACCGTCTGGCAAACTTCCCACTACTTCCCCTGCTAGGACCACCCTTGGCTTTTGCTTGCAGGGTTAACAGGAGTTAAGTGGGCAGAATCCCTACTTTCAGTGACGAGTCTGCCCAGCCAAGTCCTGCTGTTGAGCCAGATTTGCTGGTCTGTCATCAGCAGTGCCCTGGGGTACCACCAACCTGCCTGACTCAGGAACTGGACTACCACAGTCAGGTGGACATAGAGTGAGGACAGACGGGATCAGGGCTGTGATGGCCTCTGTTGTCAAATATCATGGGATGCCACCAGTTGAGCTGATACATGATCTGACCAAAAGTTGGAGGTATTAGTGGGATGTGAGTCGTTTGTTCTCTCAGCTCACCGACAGGACCCAATATTTAAATTTACTAAAACTTTCAAATATTGAAAGCTTAAAAAGCATAATTTTACAAAAAAAAATCAGGAACTTGTGATAAAGCCCATCAAATCTTCACTGTGAAGTTATAACATTGGCCTGTACCCACTCCACTCTCTGATGAGGGAATGGAGGTTGAAGTATGAGGAGACAGAGGTCTGCTCAGCTTTGCAAGGGTCAATGTGACAAACCGTCATAAATAGTGTTATATTTACAACCATCAGATGTGATGGGAATGGGAATATTCCTTCACAATGAAGGGACATCAGTATTTCAGGCTCCTGAAATAACACACTGGGTGGAGCACACGTCGCCCACATAACAACAACAATTACACTTGGACAGCGCCCTTCACGTCCGAAAGACGTCCCATAATGTTATGTTTACAGGCACTCCCGTGTACAGACATCTCAGCTCTGCCAGGGTCTCCAGAGAGCACGGACGCTGGGCTGGGAGCTGTGTGTGACGGAGCCCTGACAGGACTTGGTGCGCGGAGGGCAAACGGTGCAGTAACGTGGCTCCTCGCCCGCTCCCTGTAACGGCTGCAGTAAGTTGCGAACGCCTGGTGTCCTGGTCTCTGGCAACGACAGAAAGTGCAGCGTCTTCTGCAGACAGCGGGAGTAGCCGGCCTTATAGTCCCGCGGAGGGTGTGGCGTCGGGCAATCAGCGGCTGTGAGAGCGAAACAGCCAAACGTTATAATAACAATAATAATCCTTACATTTGATACAGCGCCTTATCGTGTCTTTGAGACGTCTCAAAGCGCTTCGCAGAATATCCCGCAAAGTGAACCGACTGTGTGCTTTGAGGGCGAAACCATGTATGTGCCTTTATGTATGAAGCTCCAGCTCTTTCACAGGGGAGTCGGTGTGTGCATCAGGCACTGGATGGTCAGTTAGCCTTCAGCTGCAATCACACAGTGCGCGGTCAGTGCCGGCGGAGGCAACGTGTGGGAGACAGACACTCACCGAGCTCGGGGTTGCGTTGCAGGTAAGTGACTGCGCTCTCCAGGATGTCCGCCTTCTCCAGTTTGCAGTTTGCTCGTTCTTTCTGTAACTGTGTCCCCAGTAACTGCTTCAGTTGGGCGATGCTCTGGTTGATGCGATCCCGTCGCCTCTTCTCCACCATCGGCTTCATCAGCTGCACAGACACACAGAGAAACAAAGACCGTCAGCAACTCTGACCCCCAACACAAGACACTCACTCGCAGCATTTACACTCTTTATTAGGGACGCAATTGCCCCCCAACAGCTGTCAGACAGACGCCCAGAAACAAGACGCTGCGTAACGGTTACTGTTAAATGGCAATCAGACCGCCGGCTGTGCGGACGCACACAATGTCCTCGTTCCCTCCCGAACTGTTGTGGTCTCAAACGGAATCCGGTTGCAGTGGCTTCGCTGCCTCTCACTCACTCACTCACTCACTTACTCACTCACTTACTCTGCATTTCTCTGTGGCTGTCAGTGAGCCCTGACACCGGCCTCTGCTCAGATACTCCACACGGGCGCTGGGAGCCATCGGTGCCAGTCTGGCCAGGAGCAGAGCAGGGAGCGAGTGTGGGTGGTGCTGCCCGGTGCGGGGCATTTAAAGCCCCTGTATTTAAAGCCCACCGTTAGCATCTGAGTGCGTGAGGCTCTGCCTTCCCACAGGTTCCCACACACTCGGCCGCCAATCGCAGCGTTCGACCTGCAAACAAAAGACGTGTGTCTGAGCCCCCGGGGGATTGGCACTGGGCTGTGACTCCTGACTGTGGGCAGCGGCTGCCCATTCCCTGAGGAGCATCTGCACAGTAAGTGTGTCTCTCACACCTCAACTTCTTACTGTCCTGGTGACACTCCCCAGAGCCTGGGAAAGGCACTGTGGCCACAAAGACACAACTTTTATTGCACAGAAGGATATCACTCTTCAAAGGGGTTTTATGTGTTGGGTTTGCTGATTGCCTAATATGTAGCCACTTTTAAAATGACCACTGTGTTTGATCTGATCTCCTGTTGAGACCTTTTCAACATTTCCTTCACATTGTGCTTTGGTGCGAGGCTCCCTTGGAAGAAGACACAAGTTAAGACACATAGTATAGGTTCATAAATCACTTGGGAATTTAGAATTACCTTCGCATTTGGTATAACACAGTTCATGTTGGGAGGATCCTCCACAGGATATACCGTATTTTTGACCTTCCTCTTCAACTGCGTCGCTTCCTCTTCGACCCTGTTTTCGGGCACTCTCCCATCCATGCTCTCCACCCCTCCTGACCCTAGTTTCCAGCTCGGGTCCAGACAACCCTGACTATCCAGCGCCCTGAGACGTGTTTCCGATGTGAAGGGTGCTATGCAAGTGCAATTTGTTGTTGTTGTTATTTGTGGACAAAGAAGGCCGCCAACAGTTGCACAGTAACATCTCACACATATCCATGAAGTGAATGATCAAGTTTATTTCGGGGTATTGTTGGCCAGGAGACCAGGAGAAACCCCCTTCTCTTTTTCAAAAAATGTCATGGGATCTTTAACATCCACCTTCAGAGGCAGACAGGATCTCAGATTAATGTCTCATCCGAAGGATTGCATCTCTGACAATGCAACACCCCCGAGCACTGCACTGGAGTGTCAGCCTCCCCAAATGTGAGTTCAAACTCCTCACCTGGGGAAATCTAAGTTGGAGTGGAAGATCCTCCCAACATGAACTGTGTTATACCAAATGCGAAGGTAATTCTAAATTCCCAAGTGATTTATGAACCCATACTATGTGTCTTAACTTGTGTCTTCTTCCAAGGGAGCCTCGCACCAAAGCACAATGTGAAGGAAATGTTGAAAGGTCTCAACAGGAGATCAGATCAAACACAGTGGTCATTTTAAAAGTGGCTACATATTAGGCAATCAGCAAACCCAACACATAAAACCCCCTTGAAGAGTGATATCCTTCTGTGCAATAAAAGTTGTGTCTTTGTGGCCACAGTGCCTTTCCCAGGCTCTGGGGAGTGTCACCAGGACAGTAAGAAGTTGAGGTGTGAGAGACACACTTACTGTGCAGATGCTCCTCAGGGAATGGGCAGCCGCTGCCCACAGTCAGGAGTCACAGCCCAGTGCCAATCCCCCGGGGGCTCAGACACACGTCTTTTGTTTGCAGGTCGAACGCTGCGATTGGCGGCCGAGTGTGTGGGAACCTGTGGGAAGGCAGAGCCTCACGCACTCAGATGCTAACGGTGGGCTTTAAATACAGGGGCTTTAAATGCCCCGCACCGGGCAGCACCACCCACACCCGCTCCCTGCTCTGCTCCTGGCCAGACTGGCACCGATGGCTCCCAGCGCCCGTGTGGAGTATCTGAGCAGAGGCCGGTGTCAGGGCTCACTGACAGCCACAGAGAAATGCAGAGTAAGTGAGTGAGTGAGTGAGTGAGAGGCAGCGAAGCCACTGCAACCGGATTCCGTTTGAGACCACAACAGTTCGGGAGGGAACGAGGACATTGTGTGCGTCCGCACAGCCGGCGGTCTGATTGCCATTTAACAGTAACCGTTACGCAGCGTCTTGTTTCTGGGCGTCTGTCTGACAGCTGTTGGGGGGCAATTGCGTCCCTAATAAAGAGTGTAAATGCTGCGAGTGAGTGTCTTGTGTTGGGGGTCAGAGTTGCTGACGGTCTTTGTTTCTCTGTGTGTCTGTGCAGCTGATGAAGCCGATGGTGGAGAAGAGGCGACGGGATCGCATCAACCAGAGCATCGCCCAACTGAAGCAGTTACTGGGACACAGTTACAGAAAGAACGAGCAAACTGCAAACTGGAGAAGGCGGACATCCTGGAGAGCGCAGTCACTTACCTGCAACGCAACCCCGAGCTCGGTGAGTGTCTGTCTCCCACACGTTGCCTCCGCCGGCACTGACCGCGCACTGTGTGATTGCAGCTGAAGGCTAACTGACCATCCAGTGCCTGATGCACACACCGACTCCCCTGTGAAAGAGCTGGAGCTTCATACATAAAGGCACATACATGGTTTCGCCCTCAAAGCACACAGTCGGTTCACTTTGCGGGATATTCTGCGAAGCGCTTTGAGACGTCTCAAAGACACGATAAGGCGCTGTATCAAATGTAAGGATTATTATTGTTATTATAACGTTTGGCTGTTTCGCTCTCACAGCCGCTGATTGCCCGACGCCACACCCTCCGCGGGACTATAAGGCCGGCTACTCCCGCTGTCTGCAGAAGACGCTGCACTTTCTGTCGTTGCCAGAGACCAGGACACCAGGCGTTCGCAACTTACTGCAGCCGTTACAGGGAGCGGGCGAGGAGCCGCGTTACTGCACCGTTTGCCCTCCGCGCAGCAAGTCCTGTCAGGGCTCCGTCACACACAGCTCCCAGCCCAGCGTCCGTGCTCTCTGGAGACCCTGGCAGAGCTGAGATGTCTGTACACGGGAGTGCCTGTAAACATAACATTATGGGACGTCTTTCGGACGTGAAGGGCGCTGTCCAAGTGTAATTTGTTGTTGTTATGTGGGCGACGTGTGCTCCACCCAGTGTGTTATTTCAGGAGCCTGAAATACTGATGTCCCTTCATTGTGAAGGAATATTCCCATTCCCATCACATCTGATGGTGTTGTAAATATAACACTATTTATGACGGTTTGTCATATTGACAATTGTGCTTTCCATCACAGTCACTACAGTAGTCATTGGAGTAAAGTGTTTTGAAGCATTTTCATTTGTTGAAGCATTGTGCACATGCAAGTCCTTTCTTGTGATTGTAAATCAATATGTGATGTAATCATTTCCTTTTCTGGTGATGTATAAAATTATTTCAATCTTGGGAATGTAATTGGAAGGAAGATGAAGGTTGAATGGGTATTTTTTTTTTCACTTGACGGTAAATTTATGGAATTGAGCAGTGTTTGGGGGTGACAATCAAAATAATCACACACACAGTGTCTCAAGTTCAGTGAATTTACAGTGTGAAAATAAGTTATTTCTCCGCCATGTGTGAGTTCTGTAGCTTTGTTACTAAAAGCGAATATTATCAGGTAATTGATGTGTTGTGTATGTTGTGTTTTCATGAGAAGGTTTTGTATATTTTACGGAGCTGTTGCCTTTTCCTAATAAAATGTTACATCAAAATTGCCATGTTGTTCCTTTTCTCTATGAAAGCATCACTCCCTCCTCTATTTCTCTCCTATCCTCGCCTATGCTGCCTGTGACATCTTTTGGTACCTGATCTCGAATGGTAATTTCACCCACAAAATACACAGTCAATTCACTTCACAGCATATCCTGCGAAGTGCTTCGAAACTTTATAAGGGGTTATATCAAATGCAAGGTTTATTATTTCAGTTGGCACAGTGTCTGGAGGTTACATAACTGAGTCATGGGAAGGAGATGGACAGAGTGTCACAGCTAAACTCAATCCCTCTTACAAATCATCTTTTTTGAAATAAGGAAAGCCCAAACTGCAAATAATGACTTCAAACAGTGTAGTTTCACATTCAAGCTAATGTGATCTCACCAGGGTGGACACAATTTTACACGTATTCCACACTGCCCTTTCATCTGCCCAATGCCATCACTTTACATGTCTCTGTGTTAAACTGCATCTGTCACCTTTAGAGCCACAACTTCAGTTACTCCAAATCCCTCTGGTTTAGTGCACATTGATTATCATCATAATAATAATCCTTGTATTTGATATAGTGCCTTATCACGTCGTTGAGACATCTCAAAGCGCTTCACAGAATATACTGTAAAATGAATTGATTGTACATTTTCTGGATGAAATGCGGCAGCTGATTGTCACATTGAAATAGTCTCCAATTTGGAAATTTAGATGCAATTGCCAGAATACCAGTTCGCCAATTAATTTTTTAAATTATAACTAATTGTGGTCCCAGCACTGCCCTCTGTGGCACATAAAACATCCATTTGCTGAACCAGTTTAATGGACCTATGGCATTGTTTTAAACCTTTGAATTTACATTTTTATAGCACCTTATCATGTCAAAAATCCTAAAGCGCTTGACAAGTGATTACTGTCAAGCACAGTGACTGGCTTTGGAGGCAAAATCTTCTACAGTAGTCGATGGAACAGTGTCAAATGCCTTTCCAAATTCCAGGTAAATAACATCTACTATCTCACAGGACGGAAGTTTAGCAGAGCAAGACTTACTTTTGATGGAGTCAAGAGGAGAATAGCAAAGAGAGAGAGAGGGCTTGGGTAATAGAGATGACAAGACTGTGTGTTCACAGTTTCCCACACTGCAGTCAATTGTTTCAGTCGGCAAGACACAAAAGGCGTGTGGCTGAGTACACGGGGAATTAGTGCTGGGCTGTGACTCAGGATCGTGGGCAGTTGCAACCTATTTCCTTGAGGAGCATCTGGACAGTAAGTGTGTCGCTCACACCCCAGGATATTAATGTCATGTGAAATTCCCAGAGCCTGAGAAAGCTCAGCCCCTCAGTGCTCAGAGGGTAATTAGGGCCAGGAACATTTCCATTTGAAGGACACAAAGGCAGTGCCTGATTTTAACCCTTTAATGCCAACTGCTCAGAAAATGAAAACCCAAAATAAAACAAATGTAACACGTTCCACGTATTAGAACAGTGGAGATGAACTCCTTGCCAAGGTTCCAGACCTGTGCAAGTGCTGTCATCTGCCTCACAGTTTTCCTCTCCTGGCTCCCTGTCTGGCTTTAAAGCCCTCCAAGATACCACCCTACAATAATAATAACAATCCTTGCAATAGCGCCTTCTGATCTCTTTGAGACGTCTCAAAGTGCTTCGCTGAAATACTTCAATTTCAGCGCTTCAAAGTGTTTCAATATACTGAAAAGTGAATTGACTGTATATTTTGTGGGCGAAACGCGGCAGCCAATTGCGCACAGCAGTGTCCCACAAACAAACATGAAGGCACTATAGAAATGCAAGTTGTTGTTGTTGTGTCTCCTCTATTGAGATTTGAGCGCTAGAAACAAGATTGTGTTTTTCTTGTGTCTGGAATAAAGGAGGCACAAAACTGAATAAAATCAGTCTCAGAGTTTTGAGGAGAAATTATAACACTGCGTCTGCAGAGTATCCCAGGGAAAGCCACTTTCTAATATTTCACACTAAAATCTTCAATCACATCCCTTCTACCTCCTCACCACCAGGGAATAACCCTAGTTGACCCAACCTCTCATCATAGGCTAAGTATCTTCATCACAGGAATTATCAAAGGTAGGTGTTCAAAACCAAACACAAAATGAGTTGTGACCAGTGTTTTATATAGCTACAGCAACACTTCCTTCTTTTTATATTTCAGATCCATTCTTATCAAGTACCTGCTATGTTGAACTCCTTCTGCCATAAATTTGCCCAATCACTTAATATGTCCCTTTACAATTTTCTGCTTTCTTCTTCGAAACGTACATCTCCAAGCTTATTTCTGCACCATTAATATATTGAAAAGATCATAAAAGTCCAAACGAAACAGAATTTATTTGTTTTGTCTCTAATTTAGTCCAAATTTACTAACGTTATCGTATTTTCTATTGCTTGGAACACCTGCAACCACTCTCTGATATGCTCTGCCAGTGAATTACATTAAAGTTTGACTCAATAATAATCCTTGCATTTAATATAGCGTTTTATCAAGAAAGAGATTTTTGAGTGAAATATGAACGTTTTTACAGTGGTTACTTCCTAAATTTAACTACTAACTGCAATCATTGAAATAACAATAATAATCCTTGCATTTGATATAGCACCTTATCACAACTTCGACACATCTAAAAGCAGTTCACATAATATACTGTAAAATGAATTGACTGTATATTTTGTTGGCATTTATATGTGAAATATTTTTACATTCACACTGCACAACCCCCTGCAAATATAAACTGTTGCTCTGGTGACCCAGTGAATAAATGAACGAATGAATAGATGATGCACGCAAGCTAAGAATATCCCAGGTTTAAATCACAGTTTTGAATCAGTACTCAGTTAGCAGATATCATCCAGGGCTACAACTGACTTCAGTCCCCTTGGCTTAGGGAGAGGCAAAATCAGCCAAGGTTCCTATTCCTGAGCATATGGATGTGTGCATGCATGTGTGTGCTGCTGACCGGGGAGTGTGAGAGGACCAGAGCAGTGTGTTTCCCACGAGCAGTAGATTAGAGGGACTCCAGTTCCACAGCTGTGCTCTCCTCACAAAAGAGAAGCCTCATTGAGAGGAACAATAGAGCTACTGAGACTCTTTACTGTGAAGCTGAACAAACTCCAACACCACTTAAAGACACACTGCTCCATTCTCCTTCTTTAAATTGATACCACTATTGTCATTGCTCATCTGAACTTTCCTCCCAAGCACCAATACATTCTCACTGTATTAAAATAAAGGCTCATCGCTACTACTCTTAACTCATTCTTTCCCAGTTACTGGCTCTTCAGGTGGACATGGCTCCATTCGAAAAGAGAAAGGTATACCCTGACCAACAATCCGCCTGGTAAAATTGTTCATGCACTTCATCTGTGTTTGTGGGACATTGCTATGTGCAATTCCTCTGCTGTATAATAGCTCTCTCACCTGGAAAATACACAGTCACTATACGTTTAGTAAATCCTATCAAGAGCTGTAAGACATCCTCTCAACGTGAAAGGCGCTGTATCAAATATAAGGACTATTTATGAAATATAAGGATTATTTATTATTCCTCTTCACGAGGTTTGCTATGTACTGCTATTGTTAGCTAACTACAGGAACCGGTCTCTGTTTGCTAACATTTGCAAATATGTCCTTGATCATTTAGAAACAACTTCAGTTGGATTTTAAAAGTTGTTGGTCAACAATCTCTAGATTAATCGGATTATTGCCTCATAATAATAATCCGTGCATAACCTTAGCTGTTTGTGGGTTCTTGCTCTTGTTGACTGCTGTGTTTTCCTACAAAATGTTGCTGCACTTAACTATAGTCTCTCAGTAAGCAGAAGTTGGACTTGATAAGAATCATATTCCTGAATACAATAGTTAGGTTTACCAACACTTTATATTGAGAGCTGGGGAGGATGCCTGAATTGTGTCTTCTTTAGGTTAAAGAAAAGAGCTAAATGAAAGGTCATGGGGAACTGGGTGTACGTGCGGATAAGGGCCTGCTGTCAGGATGTTGTTGGATTGGTTTCTTCTTTGCAGCTCTTTGACTTGCATCAATGAAATACCACAGCAACGTGTGTCTGACCTCACTTATTACCCGTGGCCAACATTCTCCCAGAATGGGAAGGCTCTGACCTCAGGTTTTCCCAGGATTTTGCAGGGAGTCCTCAGTCTCCAGCAATGAACCCTGGCTCACACATACTCCACCTGCTCACCAGGCAATGTGTTTAACCAAAGCCAATGGTCAATAGAGCTTGAAATAATGGAGCCATCACTCACTGTCCCCCTGAGACCGGGGATTGGCGGCCGAGTGTGGGAACCTGTGGATAGGCAGAGCCTCACGCACTGAGATGCTAATCACAGGCTTTAAATACAGGAGTTTTGGGGCTGAAGTCTTCAGACCTGCAAGAGGCAGCACCAGCGACGTCCAGATCAGAATTCTTTGCTCCTATCCAGTCTTAGCGCAATGGCTCCAAGTGCCCCTGCTGATCTCCTGCTAATCGGAGAGTACTCCAGGCTGACAGCCAAAGAGAAATGTAGAGTAAGTTCAGATTTTCCAAATAATATGGAGTGTAAATGCGTCACTTCTAGAGCTAAACTAAAATGTAAAGTTTTTAATAAAGGTTCCTCTGATGGATCAGTGGGTAAGTACAGACAGCCAGATCCCAGAAGGTCTCATTTTGCCTGCAAAATATACAGTTAAATCACTTTATAGTATATTCTGTTAAGCGTTTTGAGCTGTCTCAAAGACATGATAAAGCGCTACATCAAATGCAATGATTATTATTATTGTTATTAGTTACAATCCTGTTTGGTGCTGAGTTTGCTGATTGCGAATTATAAAGGGGAGTGGGGGGGGAATCAGTGAAAATGTTCCAGTTCCTGAACACATTTTAGATCTCTCGTTGCTGTATGCATTATGGCAGGGGGAGAGGTAAGGGTTGGGTTCAGCTGTGATGCCTCTGTGGTTAAATATTCTACCAACACTCATCGTCTGATTTAACACATCAAGACGACTGGGAAAGATACTGTAACTATCCTCCAAGACAATAGTCTACATCCTCAAGCGAGAATAATGCATGGGGAGAGGGAGGGAAATTATTTTGATGACAATTCAATCAATGTCTTTTTTTTGCTTCATTACAGTTGATGAAGCCAATCATCATTGAAAAGAGCTGCAGAGATCGTATAAACGACAGCATCACTCAGCTGAAGAAGTTGGTGGAGAGGAACATGGAGCACTCGGCAAACTGGAGGAAGCTGTCATCATGGAAATGAAGCAGCACCGAGGCTGGCACACGCCCTGAGTTCAGAGTAAGCTTCCAATTCCTCAAGTGCTCCTTAGATTGTGACAAGAAATGGCATTGTGGAGTCCTGTAGCTCAGTGGTTAGAGCACTCGCTTCGCAAGCGAGAGCCCTGGGTTCGATTCCCGGCAAGTGAAACGTTGGGCAAGTTTCCTCACTCCACACACGCCTCTGTTTACCCAGCAGTACGTAGGAACCCGATTGTTAGTCGATTGGCGGATTGCTTTTGCGGGGCTAATAATCCCTTCAAAAATAAATAAATAGTAATTTGGTCACTCAATCCACGGCTGTTTGTGGGACGCTGCTGTGTGCAATTGGCTGCCGCATTTCGCCCACAAAATATGCTGTCAATTCATTTTACAGTATATTCTGTGAAGCGCTTTGAGACGTCTTGAAGACGTGATAAGGCACTTTATCAAATACAAGGATTATTATTATAATTTCAATCATTGCTGTTAATAGTTAGATTTGGGAAGTAACCCCTGTAATAATGCTAGCATTTCATTCACAAATCTCTTTCTTTTTGGTTGATTGCAGCATCCCACCAGCCGAATAAATTCAAGCGATACACAACAAGTGTGTGCAAGAGATCCGACACTTGTGGTCAACCCAAGATGGCAGCAACTCTGGAAGTGCTGAAGGAAAGTGTGGAAGAGGGACCGTGTCACTCCAATACTCAGCAGATCCAGACAGAGTTGAAAGGCTTTGCACATACACTCCCTCTCTCAAAAAGCTGCTTCAGTTGGACCCAGAATCCTGCTCTTTGTGATGTGTAATGTCTGTGAAATGTAGAGACTTAGGAACTTTTGGAGGTGTCAGCTCAGTGGGGTTGGTTTTCAGTGTGTCCATCATTTGCAAATGTCGCCAGTGAGATGATGAGTATTTATTGCCCTGATGCTAAGTCACACAAATCCTGTTTCCCTAGCTGAGTCAGGCACCAATAGCACGGATCCAGGTGGCTTATTTGTTGCAGACAGATAAGCCTCCGTATCCCCAGATGAACTATGAGTGTGAATATAGAACTGAGAGTAGGATTTAAATCAGCAACGTGCCACAACTGTGGCTAATTGGACGCAATAGAAAGACCCTGTAATCACAGGGGCTGAGATTTAGCCAGAGGGTTCCCTCTCCTGATCACTATTGCCTGCTGGTCAAGGTCATGCTTGTGGATATCAGACCAGATCCGCCTTGGTTGGAATGCACCTCATGGTTGAATATCATATCAACACTCACTGTCTTACTGGCGCATGAAAAAAGGTCACTTGAGACAGGGAGGGACCTGTAGATCGAATGTCTAGTTCATGTTGGTACCTTTAGGGGAGAAGGGGAGAAAATTAGAAAGGTCATGAGACACATTCTTTCTCATCCTCACCATACTTCCCGCACGAAGACTGAGAGGGTCAGTGAATGCAAAATTGACTGTTGTGATCAAGAGATGTGGTTTTGCATGAAATGTTTTATACTTTGCAAATACTGTTTTTGTTTTATGATTCCGCATGTTACAGGGTGCGATATACATGAAAGTTGTTCTTGTTGTTGTTATAAACTAGGATGGATAAATAAAATAATTTTGAAACAATGTGAGGGATATTTTATACTGTACCAAGGTGGTTTGGGTTTAAACTCATGGGATTCAGTCTTTATTTGGGGGGACGGGGGCTAATTAAATCAGAAATCAATAGGGACAGTTTCTTTTCCAGGTTACTTAATAAGCTTTTGCGAGGTACTGGAGGGTAATTGCAGAACCATAAATAGTCTGATGGCTTCTGGAGAAGAAACAAAACAAAACAATTGGAAGAAAAATGAAAGAACTAAAGGAACTAAAATTTAGTTTAAGAATATAAGAATCACAAGAAAAACACACACAAAACTTGTGAACATCCTCTGGAATATAACTGTGGTATATTAAGAGTAAACTGACCCATTCCCCACCATCCTTAAATTCAGATCACAAAGTGTGCAGGAAGGAATTCCTCCTTTAGGTCTTTCCACTGTTGATGACAAAGTTCCTTAAAGTTTTCCAAGTGTATCAATGCAGAGGTTCAAAGGTGAAGAGGGAGGCTGTCACTTGGGGAAGTGGTGGAACTCCAATTGGCCTCGGTATGCCCATGTAATAATAATAATAATAACCTTGCATTTGATATAGTGTTTGTGGCTGAATGCAGTGATTGGCGTCTGAGTTTGGGAAACATGTGGAAGAGGTGCTTAGCACTAACCTGGTCATCTCAGATACTTGCTTTCCTGCCTTAATTTCAAATGACTGCATGATGAAAAGATTTTCCTCATGTGAAACCCAGCCGAACAGCACAGCAAAGCCACAGTTTAACACCCCGTCTGTTAGCCAATCTGGCGCTGATTAACCTCCGCTAAGCCCCTCCACCCTCCCACCCACGCCCACCTCCTATCCTGTGACACTCTTCGTGTCTAAGCCTAGTGAGTGTGGGCAGGATACCTGACTTTGTGCACTGACCATGTTCCTGTGTCATTGCCAGACATCTAACCATGCATGTACTCCATGGCATGCGTGCGTGTGTTGGGTGTTGGGGGTGGGGTGGGGTTAGTGATTAGGTGAGGCAACTCTGGTTGATTTGTCCTTAAACAGATGAGATGTATTCAACAGGGAGAGAAAAAATAATGATTAAAAAAAATCTGATCCAGGCTCAAATAAGATATAAAACGCAGGGAGAAGAACTTCATCGGGAAGAATCATACTCATTGGAACAATTATTTCTGTGCCATTCTGCCTTAAGTGCAAAGACAGGCAGAATTTGACGGAGAGTGTGAGAGGGCTGGTGCAGCATGTTTCCCACGAGCAGCAGATTAGAGGCTTCAGCTCCACAGCTGTGCTCTCTTCACAAAAGAAAAACCTCATTGAGAGGAACAATAGTGTGGATGGTTTGCCACTGAAACTCTTCATTGTGGAACTGTGCGAACAACACCGTCACTTAAAGGCACACTGCTCCACTGAGGCACCACTTAGAGGCACTCTCTTTGCCACCTGTGACTGAAACCAAGAATGTTTTATTGACCAATCTTACAGCAGGCAGCTACGCTACTGCGGCAGATGTTGCTTTTCAGGGGAGTTTTTGTTAGGGTTGGAGTGTTAGCCCAGGTCTGCAAGGCAGGATGTCAGGGGAAGATGCTTCACACTTGCCCAGTGAAGACTACACTACCTGTCAAGGCTTTGGCTTGCAGAGTTATCAGGAGCCGAGCGGGAAGAATCTCATCCCCAGTAATTGGTCTGCCATTGAGCTACGCTGAGTCAAGCGCTCTGAGATGCTACCCAGCGTGAAGGGCACAATATAAATGCAAGTTGTTGTTGTTGATCCATCATCAACATTGTCCTGGAATACACCTATACCCCAGATAATATAAGTATTTTTCGAAAATACTGGTAAATGCCGGTACTGGCATTGTAATTGTTTGAATCCCAGATAGCGGAGAAGCTATTTTCTGCTCCTGGGATTCAAACAATCAGAATCAAAGTTGGTCTCCCTGGCTGCTATGAAGGCCAGCAAGGGCAGAGGGGCTTCTGAGCGCAGTGTTGATGGGTGCCAGGAGAGTTGACTTAGCAGAAGTCCTTAGCTAGGCCTGTGGAAATTTTTGGTCCGTTGAATCCAGGCCCAAAGAGACCCACTTTGCCCCCACCCCAAGGAAGATAACCACTGCTCTAGCCAAACGGATAGGTTTCAAGATCCTCACACCTCATTTTCAAATCCCTTCATGCCCCGGCTACTCCTTAGTTCTCCGACCTGCTTACCTCCCCAACCCACCGCTCGACTGGCTCCGGCCTCTTCCGTGTCCCTCATGCCCTACATTCCACCATCATCGGCTGCGCTTTCAGCCACTACGCCCCAAAACTCTGGAACACTCTTCCACTATCCCTCCAACTTGTCCTTTCCTTCCCCATTTTCAGATCACACCTGAAGACCTTCCTCTTTGTCCGTGGCTATAGTCACCCTTCTTTCCCCCCGGGTAGGCTTCGTGCTCTGCCACTGTCGAGCGCTCTGGGATACTACCCTGCATTAGGGGCGCTATATGAATCAAGTTATTGTTGTACTGATAAAACTATCTCAATATTGAGACAGCCCTTTTGGACAATGTAGCAGAGGATTCCTCAACCAGCACAGAAATCCCAGCCTGAAGTAGGGCTTCAAGCCCTCTTGTCAGATGAGACCCTTCACTCTAAAGGCAATTGAACAACATGCTGTGCAGGGCAGGTTGAATTAAGAATTTAAGTATTCAAGGGAGCAAAAACAGAACAATAATTGCAAAACAATATGACAGACAGTGGATTTGGTGGGAAGGCTTTGACCCCGGGGTTTCCCAGGATCTTGCAGGGAGACCCCGGACTCTGGCTATTGAACCTTGTCTCCCACAGACTCAAACTGCCATCAGGCAATGTGTTTAACCAGAGCCAGCGGTCAATAGAAGTTGAAATAATGGAGCCATCACTCACTGTCCCCCTGAGACCGGGGATTGGTGGCCGAGTGTGGGAACCTGTGGGAAGGCAGAGCCTCACGCACTCAGATGCTAATCATGGGCTTTAAATACAGGGGCTTTAAATGCCCTGCACCAGGCAGTACCACTCACACTCGCTCCCTGCTCTGCTCCTGGCCAGACTGGCACCGATGGCTCCCAGCGCCCGTGTGGAGTATCTGAGCAGAGGCCGGTGTCAGGGTCCACTGACAGCCAAAGAGAAATGCAGAGTAAGTGAGAGGCAGCGAAGCCACTTCAACTGGATTCCGTTTGAAACCACAACAGTTTGGGAGGGAACGAGGGCATTGTGTGCGCGTGCGGTCTGATTGCCATTTAACAGTAATTGTTACTCAGAGTCTTATTTGTGGGTGTCTGACAGCTGTTGGGGGGCAATTGTGTCCCTAATAAAGAGTGTAAATGCTGCCAGTGAGTGTCTTGTGTTGGGGGTCAGAGTTGCTGACGGTCATGTTTCTCTGTGTGTCTGTGCAGCTGATGAAGCCGATGGTGGAGAAGAGGCGACGGGATCGCATCAACCAGAGCATCGCCCAACTGAAGCAGTTACTGGGGACACAGTTACAGAATGAGCGAGCAAACTGCAAACTGGAGAAGGCGGTCATCCTGGAGAGCACACTCAGCTACCTGCAACACAACCCCGAGCTCGGTGAGTGTCTGTCTTCCACACGTTGCCTCCGCCGGCACTGACTGCGCACTGTGTGATTGCAACTGAAGGCTAACTGACCAGCCAGTGCCTGATGGGAAGGTATTCGTGTCCCAGCTGCGGACAGGAAGATGTTGGCAAAGCTCTCACCTATTTCATGCTGAGCTGCGTTGCCCACCAGGAAGCTCCCAGACCTTTACTCGTATCTATCATTCATCTAATGAGGATCAAACCCGCGCTTCTCAGATGTCAAATGACCAATTAGTCATTCCTCCCCCCAGGAGAAAAAATTCTCCAGGAGAAAAAATTCTCCTGGGGGGAGGAAAGTAAAGAAGGTCTCCTTGGAGCTGAATTGGCTCCGGGGTGACACGTTCGGCAACAGAATGTCAGAATCAAGCCAGCCTTCTGTGGCAGTTTTGGTAGTCTGGTTCCTGGATGGTAGATACACTTGTCTGTGAATGAGCTGGAGCTTTATACGTAAAGACATAAACATTATACAGTACATAGGAACATTTGTCTATTAGTCTACTTATACATAAAGACATATACATAGTTTTGTCCACAAAATACACTTTACGGTATATTCCGTGAAGTGCTTTGAGACAAGCTAAGGCACTATATCAAATGTAAGGATTATTATTATTATTTTATTATTATTATAACGTTTGACTGTTTCTCTCTCACAGCAGCTGATTGCCAGACGCCAAACCCTCTGCAGGACTATAAGGCCGGCTACTCTCGCTGTCTACAGAAGACGCTGCACTTTCTGTCGTTGCCAGAGACCAGGACACCAGGCGTTCGCAACTTACTGCAGGCATTACAGGGAGCGGGAGAGGAGCCACATTACTGCACTGTTTGCCCTCCGCACAGCAAGTCCTGTCAGGACTCTGTCACGCACAGCTCCCAGCCCAGCGTCCGTGCTCTCTGGAGACCCTGGCAGAGCTGAACAGACCTCTCTCTCTCTCTCCCCTCATACCTCAACCACCATTCCCTCGCTAGAGAGTGGTTGCATGCTGTGCTGTAGGAGAGATGTGCTCTCCGTAAATGTAAATGTCCTGACTTTTCTTTTGTAAAATACCTGGACAATTTGTGGATGTCAAACCTTCATAATGAAGGAAATTGATTTTCTTTTGTGGTAATTACAAATTGATGAACTGTCATATTGACAGCTTGGGTTATACAGAAGGTTCGAATGTATTTTTGTAATGTTAACTGATGACAGTTTATGAAGGTGTTTGCTCCCTGGTTTGTAGTGTTGCGGGACTGAAGTCACAACCTGCTCCCTGGTCACATTTATAATTTGTATTTTTTAAATTAAATATGGCAGCAACTTAATAGAAGAGTATTTGACAATTTATTTTTGTTGTCTAGGGAGGGAGGGAAGTTAGCCATTTTCCTTCCAACCTCCTGCACTTATGTAGGGTTCAAGCTTGACGCCTGACCCTGAGCTCACAGCTCAAGATGACATTCCAGAGCAGTTCTGGGTGAATGCCGCATTGTCAAAGGTATCAGCCCTTGGATGAGCCTTTATGCCAAGTTCCCATCCGTGCCGGTAGAGGAGGTGGACATTAAAGGTCCTACAACCCAACTGAAAAATAGCAGGGAGATTTTCCCCATGTTCTGGCCAACAACCTTCCAGATGAACTGATCATTCACCAGGGTTCCACCTGGCTGTTCAGGTGAATGTTAAAGATGTTGCAGCACTATTTGTAAACAGAAGGGAGTTTCTCCTAGTATCCTGGCCAACGATCCCTCAGATTTAAAAAAAAGTCTTATCTTTCCCCCCACCACTTCATAATTCGGAACAGCTCTATCAGATCCTTTTTCAACTTGTTTGTTTGAGTGAAAACAGCCTCTGTTTCTCTAGTCTTTCCTCACAAGTATGATTCTCATCGAAGTGAATCTCCTCTGTCATCTCTTCATAACATTGGCATCCTTCCTAAAATGGGATGCCCAGAACTATGCACAGGCCGAGATCTATCTCTTTTCTCAGCTGGAATTGGGAAAGTTCAGCATAAGTTCCTCCTTTTGCTCCACTGTAAAGTATGTATATTTGCCTATTCCATCCTCACAAAAACACAAAGAAACATACTTAGTTACATTAAAGTGGAGTCATATAGCTTAGTTAGAGCACTTGCCTCGATATCCCGGAGAGGGTGAAGCATTGGTTAAGTTTCCTTACTCCACACGCCTCTGTTTACCTAGCAGTTAGTAGGAATCCAGTTGTTAGTTGATTGGCAGATCGCTTTTCCAGGAGTATTAATCCCTTATAAAAATAAAATTATAATAATAATTTGGTCACTCAATCCACCGTTGTCTGTGGGACATTGCCGTGCACAATTGGCTGCTGTATTTCGCCCACAAAATATACAGTCAATTCACTTTACAGTGTATCCTGTGAAGCTCTTTTAGACGTCGTAAAGAAGTGATCAAATGCAAGGATTATTATTGTTATTATTAAAGAAATCCTGAAACATCAGTGCAGTTGTTGAACAGCATGATCGGCTTTTTCTTGTTAAATCCATGGCATCCTTGCTGATGATGAATGAAAAGTTAAGAAGGGATATGAAAAGGGTTATCAACCCTGGGCCATCAGTTCCCATTTTAACAATAGGAGCAACTCTCGTTGAAGCTGAGAAGTGCACCTGAGGCGACACCTTGTTGCACTGATCTCTAAGCCTGGCTTCAGGATGAGTTTATCTGGAGACCATGTTTTTTGACATGTAAGAATCTTCAGATAACATGAATCTGCTCTCCACCCGATCCTCTGCTGCTACCTGCTGGAGATTCAGGATGAAGCATGTTCACCGAACGCAAAGATCCCCAAAATTTTAAAAATAATGAAAAGAAATAAACATACATAAAAGATATATATATGGTGAAAAACCAACATCAACAACAACAACTCGCATCTATTTAGTGTCCAGCGCCTTAGGACGTCCTCCCGACGAGAAAGTCACTATACAACAACAACAAGATTATATTTGTATAGCACCTATATATATATATACAATATACATACTATATATACAAATGTAATTTGGTGTTGCTGTTGTTGTCCTTCACTCAGGATAGTGTCTTGGGACAGATTTTTCTCCCTCAAATGGTATGAGTCGAGGCTACAATTGCCTATAGATACAGATGTGATAGAAACAACAACAACAAGACTACATTTGTGTAGCACCTTTCACGTGGATATGAATTCCAAAGGCGCTGGACAGTATACAGCATTTCAGACCCGAGCTGGGGTCAGTGGAGGAGAAGCGAGGGGAGGGGACGGGGGGTGACTGATGGCTTGGTCGAAGGGGAGGGTTTTGAGGTGGATCTTGAAGGAGGCTACGGAGGGGACGAGGCGGAGTGAGTGGGGATGGAATTCCAGAGGTTGGGGCCAGAGTGACTGAAGGCTCTCCCGTCAATGTTGGGGTGGGTGGGTCGGGGGATGTGGAGCAGGCCGGAACTGACTGAGCGGAAACAACCAGGAGTCCTGCATCTGATCGTTATGCAGAGACCTCTGTGTGTGTTGGTGTGTGTGTGTTGGGTATCAGGCTCAGCTGCAATGTCCTTGTGCCCCATGACAAAGCCCTGCTGACCATCACCATCTTGGCTCACATATAAAGAAAAGCACTTGGAGATATAACAGATATTGGACCTTTATCAGAATGAATCAGCAGTTAGGATCGTGGGAGGGGAGAAAACAAGCTCCCGAAATCTGTCTCCAGCCCTGTCCTTTCGTGCCACCTGCTGGAACTATAGTGCAAAATACACTGAGAATATTCATGCATGGCTACCTTTCTTGGCGGGAAGGAAAGCGGAGTCTCCTTGGGGCTGAACTGGTAAGAGATGTCGGAATCCAGCCAGCCCTCAGTGGCAGTCTTAGTAGTTTGGTTTCTGAGCCAGGAAGGGCCACAGAACTCCAGGGCATTGCTGGGGACAAGCAGCGGGAAAGCTTGCCGGACAAAAATATCAATGGCAAGCGATGCAGTTTTAATTGTTAGACTCTAGCAGTTACCCCAACGCACACTCTGGAGTCCTCAAACCTTGGCTCTTGCCAACCTATACCTAAGACTTTGCAGAATTAGGTAAGCAGGATATGTCTCTTCAGAGAGTGAGAGATTGCGCATTCGATTCCAATAATCTATCTCTGGGATTTCCATGTATAGATGGGATGGGTTTCCACATGTGTCAGACATCCAATTGATCAACAAAAAATATTAATATGTTGGTCAGAGAGCAGGTTGTGCAAAAATAGGATAAACAAAGAAAAACTAAACACGATTACATGACAGACTATTCTGCTGACCTGGAGTGCGTTTCTGAAGTTACTAAATTGAATGACGAATGAAGGACTGATGGTTTTCAAATCATTGAATCAATTCACTAAATGCTTCATTGTATTTTAAAAATGAACATTAACTTAATTTTAACAAATATTAATTTATAGATCACACTAAACAATAGCACTGGGTTAAAAGAATGAATTGGTAGCTAGATTTATCAGTGATTGAACATGGGATTCGAACCTGGCTCCTCCTCTGAGCTTCCCCTCCCTGAGCTACAGGAACCATGTCAGAGCTGTGCTGTCTGTCCTGGAAAAAAATTGAGTGAATGATATAATGACCATTGAGTGATCACCCTCACTGCATTGTATCTATCATTCAATGCTCTGGCCCCACAAGTGTTCCCAACTCCACCAATGACTTCTGATGAGACTCTCATCCGTATCACCTCTGATTGTCTATAACAATTAACCTATGCACATTTGCAGTATCTTCATATCAAAGGAGATCCCAGAAGGCTTTGTCTTACTCTGACCTTCTTAAATCCCTTCAAAATTAAAAAAAAATAATTTGGTCGCTCAATCCACGACTGTTTTTGGGACACTGCTGTGCACAATTAGCTGCTGCGTTTCACCACAAAATATACAGCGATTCACTTTACAGGATATTCCGTGAAGCGCTTTGAGATGTCTCAAAGACGTGTTTACGCACTATACGCACTATATCAAATGCAAGGATTATTATTATTATTGTCCATCACCCTGGGACGTCTTCCCAACATGAAAGGGGCTAGACAGTGTAATTTGTTGTTGTTATCAGTCTGTGCTGAAAATAAACTACCGGCCAAAACTACCCCTGCTTGTGCAACAATAACACCTTGCACTTATGTAGCCTCTTTCACATCTTGAAGGGTTTCAATTGTGTAACCGTAAACCTCAATCTGTGCACAGCCGCAGAGCAGCTGAAATTAAATTCTATATATGACTGAGTAATAAATCTCCCCTTGGCTGTTAGATCTCTAGGTACTACGCTGGTATTTCATACTGAAAAACCTTTGTCCTGTGCACAGCCTCACAGCATAGGATTGCCTGAACTATACTGAGAGTAGCCACACGGTGACACTATTTATCTCCTTTACAGTCTTAGAGACCTCTTATAGCCCCCATCTGATTGAGATTTCCAATGTAATATACCTTTGGATTCAGGTGAGGACTGTTTCTATATGCTGGAAATTTGCTCTAACCAGAAGCTAGATGAGAAAACCCAAACTCCTGAGGACATTTTCATCCCATCAGAATAGGGCCAGATTCAGAATTAGGTCAGTCAAAAGGTCTTTGGGATCATCCATATACGCCATACTCTTATATCTTTCTGATAAAAAGTGTGCTGGGAATGATGCTGTACATCTCTATGAACATAAGATGCTATGGAATCAGTCGGTCACAGTACAATGTGTTCAGGACAGAACATGAGAGGGCTGAGGGCCAGATTACTCTTGACTCAAAAGGTTAATTCGTCACTTGTCATTTCTTGGGAACACTGCCGGGGGAGGTGGTGGGGGTGGGGGGTGGGGGGAGAATAAAACTGCTCATTTCAAATTATAAACACTTAACAGAATTACACAGACATCTAGAGTCATTGACCAGTCATGTAAAAGCGTGTCCGAGCGATCTGTGGAGGCAGCCAAGCTCCCACTGACTCTGTGAAGTTTAAGACGCCCCCATGATTTCACTGTGAGATATTTCATCCCTCCTGCTTTCCCCCAACTGTCGCTGTTGAAATAAGATGACATTAATTTTGGGAACCATTGAGGATTGAGCTGGGAATCAAGAGGCAGAATCCATTCTCCACGCAGGCCCAGGACATTTCAGATATGCAACGTGTATGCCACAGGTGTGATCAGTAACGCCCAACCCTTGGGATCTATATATCATGTTGGAACTCTAACATGAGCTTTCTCACACGTGTTGAAACACTCAGGCATCAGTTAGAGACCCCTGAGGCCACAGGTTCTTCACAATTCACTAATATTGAGTTTACCA